ACATTTAGCAATTCTCTTTCACAGTAAAACTCCATTTTCTTGTGCTTCATGTTCCCTTAGAACACGCCCACACTAATTGCAAGAAAATTTCAGCCAATGCTGCGATGAGGATGACTCATATTGTCATACACAAGCTTTTACGACCTTATACAGAGAAAATGTTTCATCTCGATTTCCAGTGTTAAATGTAAAAGAGCAGGAAGACTTTTGACCTGTGGCTCGAACCCCGAGTCCCCCAGTTCACTATTGTGGAGTTCTTTTGAAATCAAATGAAATGATGTGCATGAAAGTACAGAACATATGGAAGGTGCTTAATGAGAAATTAGTTTCCATTCTCTTATGTCAACCACAGGTAGAATCTCCTTAACTATGTTGGAAGCTCTATAAAGGCATGGACTATGCCTATGGTATGTGCCATTATATCAGCAATGCTTAGTATAATGGCTGGCCCATAGTTAGTGTTCAATAAATATTGGTTGAATACTTAATGCTTATAATGGTTAATATTGAGTGTCAACTTGATGGGATTGAACGATGCAAAGTATTGTTCCTGGGTGTGTCTGTGAAGGTGTAGCCGAAGGAGATTAACGTTTGAGTCAGTGGATTGGGAAAGGCAGACTCACCCTCAATCTGGGTGGGCACAATCTAATCAGCTGCCAATAAGGCCAGAAGAAAAGTAGCAGAAGAACGTGGAAAGACTAGACTGGCTAAGTCTTCTGGCCTCTGTCTTTTTCTGTGTTGGATGCTTCCAGCCCTTGAATGTCAGACTCCAACATTCTTCAGCTTTGGGACTCAGACTGGCTCTGATCCTAGAAGCCTGACGTGTCGATATTTATTTGACAGTCCAGCATGTGGACATGTCAGGGGTGATGGCTGAGTATGCAGAAAGCCAGAAGGGCAGATATCCCCTCTCCCTGCTTCCTGGCATCCAGAGTACCGCCGTACGGCCTCCCCTCCTACTCCTCCTTGGAGCTTGCAATCCTCAGGAGAAATGCAAAGCAGCAAGGTAGCCATGGGGTAGCCCCAGCAGTTCAGAGGGTGGTGACACCAGTGGGGGCATTCTCACCAGACCATTCCTGCCATGGAACTTGTGCTGTATTTTTGGTTTCCTGCCCACCCCCGGCTCCCTTAATCCTGTTTATTTTCCGAGCTCAGATTCCCGAGCCTGCCTGTTGTTTCTATGGGACACCTACTGGTTTTCCAATAAATGTCATCTCTGCCGTCAGTCAAGTGGACTTCTAACATTTGCAACCAACGATTCAGATTCGAGTCCACTTCGCCTACCCCTGGCTTTGGTTTCCCAGCACAGTAAACTCATTAAGCACTGTTTCTAGGGGTACATTTTAAAGTTACTTTTTGGTTTTTTTTGGAGACAAGGTCTTGCTCTGTTACCCAGTCTAGAGTGCAGTGGAGCGACCTCAGTTCACTGCAGCCTCAAATTCCCAAGCCATCCTCCCACCTCAACCTCCCGAATAGCAGGGACTATAAGCACATGCCACCATGCTTTGCTAATTTTGTTTATTTTTTGTAGAGATGGAGTTAATATGTTTCCTAGGCTAGTCTTGAACTCCTGGACTCAAGTGATCCTCCTGCCTTGGCCTCCTGAAGTGCTGGGATTACAGGTGTGGGCCACCACACTCGGCCTAGAGTTACTTTTGCATAGTTTTCAAAATCTCTTCTTCAAGACAGTCAATGCTTTTTTTTTTTTTTTTTTTTGAGACAGAGTCTTCACTCTGTCACCCAGGCTGGAGTACAGTGGCAGGATCTTGGCTCACTGACTACAACCTCCATCTCCCAGGTTCAAGCAATTCTCTCCTGCCTCAGCCTCCCGAGTAGCTGGGATTACAGGTGCCCACCGCCACGCCCGGCTATTTTTTGTATTTTTTAGTAGAGATGGGGTTTTACCACTTTGGCCATGCTGGTCTCAAACTCCTGACCTCATGATCTGCCCGCCTCGGCCTCCCAAAGTGCTGGAATTACAGGCATGAGCCACCACACCCAGCCAACAGTCAATGTTTTTTATGACTCTTTGATATCCTTAGCGCTTCTACAAAGTGTGCTATGCCTTCCTTAATAAAGTGAATTTTTTTTTTTGAGACAGAGTTTCACCTTTGTCCCCCAGACTGGAATGCAGTGGCGTGATCTTGGCTCACTGCAACCTCCGCCTCCTGGGTTCAAGTGATTCTCCTGTCTCAGCCTCCCAAGCAGGTGGGATTATAGGCGCAGGCCGCCACGCCTGGCTAATTTTTTGTATTGTTAGTAGAGACGGGGTTTCACCATGTTGGTCAGGCTGGTCTCAAACTCCTGACCTCAGGTGATCTGCCCACCTCAGCCTCCCAAAGTGCTGAGATTACAGGCGTGAGCCACCAGGTCCAGCCAGTAAAGTGGAATTCTATGCCCTCCAGTTACTCTGTCACTTTATTTGTTGTCATATTTCTTAATCCCTAAGATTAATTTCTTGCTCATCTGCTCTTTTTACTCTATACTCATTTCCCTTTAGGGTTTGTGAGACTTAATAAGCTTTTATATTGCCAGATACTATGCTAGCAACAACCATCCACAGATAAATAAGACAGAGATCACCTGCGTGAAGATAAGAGTTAAACGAGTAAGATGGAAAGTAGATTAATGCCCAGCCAGGAAACATAAGCTCTCACACTTCTCGAAGCAAGGAGGAAAACATTGCAGACATATAAAAGACGGGGATTTGATTCGGTATGACATCTCCTTCTACAGCAGCAGGACGCATTTATTCCATCAGTGTTCACTGTGCCCTAGAATGTGCCAGACACACGTGGCGCCTGCGTCCTGGTAATCTCTCCTTATTTCTCTCTTGTAAAATGAATAAACTTCTTTTGGAGGTACGAGCCCTTCTGTCTCTGTGCGTGTGTATAACAATAACTCACTTTTTAATGCATGAACAAGCGGAGAGACATCCTGGAATGTGTGGCTAGAGTCAACAACAAGCTGCCTCTTCTGAAGGTGACACAGTCACCGCTGCTTTGAACCACGTTTTCTTTTTCTACCCGTGTGACTGCATCTCCGGAGAACCATGCTGACACATTTCTGCCGTACATTCTCACTGCTGCCTATAATCCATCACTACAAAGAGAGGCCTTAAAAACGGCACTGAAGGGAGACATGATTTCCTTTCCATTTCCCTCTCAGAAAAGCAGCTTATAATAGGGAAGGAAAAGGTTGCATTTAGGTTAAAGGAATATAAATAAGAAAGACCCTGCCTCTTTCCTTCTTCAAGATGCTAAGCCTCAAAAGGGTTCTTGGTTTTAAAAACGGCCATCACCCCTTGGTCTGCACTAAACATTAATATTATATTCCTGGTCATAAAGCCAGAGGATTTTTAGTGGGAGCTGTTAAAGGGAAAGGATGGCTAAGTCAGGTTTCTTTGGTCACAGGCTCATAAATACAACTTTGTGAGGTTAGTCTTGTGGTTAGCTAGTACTTAAAATTTGTGATTCCCTCGAACATACAGCTTCACAGGGGAACTATGGACTTTTTCTCAGACAAGAATGCAGTGCTGTAAATTACGACTTGAAAACAGAAACGACCAGAATTCCTAAGGTGACCAAAAGCCCCACAGAACTGTGTTAAAACATTCTTCATCGTTGGGCACATGTACTAAGGGGAGAAAGCAGGGAAAAGCGCCATTTTCTTCTTTTAAAAATTAATTTTGCCATTGAAAACAACACTGTGGCTTTTAACTTATTAATAAAACAAAACTTTCATTCACTAGACAAAATTTTCATCAACTTACCCCACATTTAACTGGGGTCAAATGATTATTTCGCTAATGCTTATTATCAGTCATAGCTTAATAATGTTACTGCTATTGCTGGGTAGAAAGTTTAAATTTTTTAAATATTTAAGCTCCTTAGGTGCACTCAAGCTAGGGTTCTGCTTATCTGCTCATTTAAATAGCTAACAAAAGCTCCCAGTGAACACAGGGTTGCAAGGTCCCCAATGAAATGCAGTGTGAATCTCTATGCAGCTGTAGCCTGGGGGACTGAAGGTTTGGCCAGTGTCCTCCCACTTTTTTTTTAGGTTTCTCTCTTTTATTTTAATTTTACTTTAGGTTCTTGGGTACACGTGCAGGTCATGCAGAGTTGTTGCATAGGTGCATACATAACCAGGTGGTTTGCTGCCTCTATCCCCCCTTTGACTATATCCGGCATTTCTCCCCATGTTATCCCTCCCCACCCCCCACTGTCCCTCTCCCAGCCCCCCCACCAACTGTGCTTTCTTTTTTTTCTAACTTCTCACAAAGTACCAAGGTGCCTGCTCGCTGGCAGTGTACAAGGAGCTTTGGTAACAGCAGTCATAATTCTGTGGTTTTCACGATCAAGGATATTATTTCTCTCTGCTGAAGAAGAGGTCTTTGTCCATGTCACATTCTCCCTCTTTCTCTTTCTAACGTGATTTGACAGCTTGAATCCAAAAGGAGGCTTCACAATTAGAAGAAAAAGACTGAACCACAACATCTGTGCTAACAGCCCCCTTCACTGCTCTAATCAGAATTCCCTTATTCCATTTCTGTTTCTCAGGAGAGGGCAGGGGGCTTTTTAATTGAGGCTATTAGAAGTTCTCTTTACACAACACCACCCTGCGCTAACTGAAGGCTCCAGTGAAAGCCATGCCCATTCTGCAATTACTTCTTGCAATTCTGGGGAATAATGGTGTCTTGTCTCATTTAAAAATAAATCTAAGGCTTATCCCTATGGCTTTCTCTCCTCTGCCTACTCACATGAATTTCTTCTTGCCAATTACACAAACTTTCCATTATTTAAGGAGGTAGTTTAGATTGCTACTGTTCCCTGATAAGAAGACATATTAAACTGGATTTCATTTGCCCACAGCTCCGTTATTCCAGATACAAGGCTAATTTACATAAGCTCAGATCTCAGATTTTGAGTTTCTTCTGTAGTGAAACCATGCGGCTTTGGAATTTCCTGAGTGCTGTTCTGTTTACAGGCCACAAAACTTACCTGAAATGACCTGCACATTCAATGCTCTCAGTTTCTCAGAATCACTTCCTCTTAAGAGAACAGATGTAGGTTTGTCTTGATGACCTATTTCCAGAAAAGATATTAAGTATTTAGTAATAAACAAGCACACTGTTAACATATATTCCCCATGTTGGCTCAAAGGATTACCAAAAAGAATGGAGCCATTCACAACAGGGCCTAGAATAATGAAACTGACCTAACAGTCCCATAAAGAGTTTTTTGGATAAACATAGAAATTGACCCTTCTGGTCTTAAAGCTTGAACCTTACATTTGTTTTATCTGAGTTCCTCTCAAAAAACAGTATCAAAGAATTGAAACTCTCCAGATCTCCATATCCAGACAAAGAGATGCCAGACCCTTCATTCTCCATGATTGTTTTCTTACCCCTCCCTAGTTCCTGTTTTCTTACACATTGTTACACTTCTTCTCTGCTATTATATAAACCCCTAGTTTTAGTTGGTCAGGGAGATGGATATGAGACTGAGCTGCCAGCTCCTCACCTGTAGCACCCAATTAAAGCCTTCTTCCTTGGCAACAGTGATCCTTTCAGTGATTGGCTTTCTGTGCAGTGAGCATCAGGACCTAGACCAAACCCCTGGTGTTACATCTAGTATTGTGGTGCTTGTATTATTTGCCAAGGCTCTCACCTTCTCTACCAGGCAAGGCTGTGTTAGCCATTTCAGTAGGCAGAACAAGTATCTGCCTCTAGGTTTCAGTAAAGTTGCAATTAATTCTTTTGACTATTTGTTGCAGATATTTTTGCAACAGGATTCTGGGAGTTTTCCTTATAAAGTTATTTTCAATTAACAAATACAGGTTCTTCCCAAAATCAGTGGCTTCTCTACTACCATAAATGCCATTATGCCATTTCTTCTCATGAAAAGCACCAGCTCTTATACACAGAAAAGTATATTATTTATCTTATTATATACATAGACATGATGTGAAGAACATTTAATGTATATTTAATATTCAAAAACATTTAATGCCCTAAGTGGTGTGATATTTTTTATTACTTTGTATGCTTGGATTTGCAAGCCTTTCAAAATTACTAAGTCTGTCATTTGGGCAGATATTTATAAGAATTTAATTTGACTCCCCACTACTGGTCCCCGTCTAGACATTTTTCCTAGCTCACTTCTGTCTCTCTTTGCTCATAGCTTTTCATAATGAAAAATGGGTCAAGAGACTCAGAACTATGCACTATTTATAAATAACACACATTTACTTTAAATAATAGAATTTTCAGCGCTAAATACCCCTACGTCTTAGTTCTGACATTTTGCTAGTTATGCAGCTTTGGATAAAACACTTAACCTCTCTGAGTCTCAGGGTTTTTTTAATCTATAAAATAAAAAATAGCATATATTCTGTTTACATACTTTAAGAATCTAGTGAAAATGCACTGAAAATGGTTATTCTACAAATAAACAGTATTGACTATGTTATTAACCGCTGCACAATGAAACTGCTCTCAAAAGCATCTGCAACAAATGCTTAGTCAAAGGAATTAATTGCAACTTTACTGAAACCTAGAGGCAACCACCTGTTCTGCCTACTGAAATGGCTAACACTGCCTTGCCTGGTAAAAAAGGCGAGAGCCTTGGGAAATGATTCAACCTCGCAATACTACTGTCCTTTAATGAAAACTATGCACTAGACACTGTAGTCAACTTTGTGAGTAATCTCTTTGTTTCCTTACCTCAACCCTGTGTGGTAGTGGTGATTATCCTTGTTTTACAGAGGAGGTAAGGATATACATAATTTAAATAACTTGCTTAATGTCACATCACTAGTAAGTTGTAGTACTAGGACTCTAACATAAATCCATTTGTTTTCAGTGCCTATTCTAATAGTGATACATTTTGCACTGTCTTTAAGAGACTAGTTACTCATACTGGGAACTGTCCATTGAGCCTGATAGTCATACATTTTATGCATGGGTACATGCCAGTAGAACCAGCATTTGCCTGAGTACACACCAGTAGCACCATATCAGTAATTTATAATCAATGTCCACCCTGATAGGTGAGTGCCTAGGTCATATGAGTTATTAAATATTTTTAACATCATTCCTACTGTCCTGATTCCTAATTTCTAATTTCTTTTAGCTCTGCCCTACCAAAAATCTGATAACCCCCATGCTTATTAAAGATTGACTCTGCCTCACACTCGTCACCTAAAGCCACTCTGCTCAAGATCTCCAACTCTGAAATTCTTGTTTTTGAGATGGAGTCTCACTCTTTTGCCTAGGCTGGAGTGCAGTGCCACAATCTTGGCTCACTGCAACCTCCACCTCCCAGGTTCAAGTGATTCTCATGCCTCCTAAGTAGCTGAGAGTATAGGCACACACCACCACACCCCACTAATTTTGTACTTTTAGTAGAGACAGGGTTTCACCATGTTAGCCAGGTAGGTCTCGAACTCCTGACCTCAGGGGATCTGCCTGCGTTGGCCTCCCAAAGTGCTGGGATTATAGGCATAAGCCACCCCACCTGGCCTAAAATTCTTTATCCTCAGTTCCTGTTCTCTCTCTCCTTCTGCCCTCACTTCCACTAAGCCCTGCTCAATGTCCAGCCCATCAGCTTCTTCCTATTCACCCAGCCTTTCTTCCTCTCCTACTCACTTGTCCAAGTAGAAGAAAGATGAATGAAGCTCCTTGCATTGCTGGAACTGTGTCTTATCTATGCTTCTATTCCTTGGATTGCCTAGAATTGCCACTTATACACAGTAGGTGCACAATAAATGCTACATTGAACTAAAAATAGAAGAAATTCGGAGTTCCTTGGCACTACGTGGATTATACTCACTCTGCCACTTCTGCACTCTTCTGTGGCCTTCAAGTGTTTTGCAGATAATGAGGACAATCAAAAATATAAAAACTAATAGAACTAAAACATACCAAGTGATCTTTATAGAACAAGTGATACCTGCAAAGAAAACAAATACTGTAAAAACCCAATAAAATTATTCAACAGGTAAAAGGCAATGTGGCAGCTTAGCTGAGTTCTACAACATACTCTGCCCTGAACTGAAAAGCTGAAATTATGACCATCACTGTTACAGGGTCACTAGCTCTCCTGAATTCTTTCTTGATATGTTAAATCAAGGTATTAAATGGGAAAACTTGAGCAGGTAGCTTCCAGGTATCCATTTAGCTCCAAAATTCTAGGATTCATTTCCCTTACAGGTTATGCTGATATTAGTTTCACTATCATCGCTGTAACTAGGATAAGACCGCAACATAGCGGTCCCAGCATCAGAGCCATTTAGAATTCATAACTTTGAATTCTTTGTTGAAAGATGCAGGGAGTACAAGGATGATGGGGAAGAAAGAGAATGGCAGGCAAAGTCAAAGGACTGGTCTGAGGCATATAAGTGGCCAGGACGATGAATAATCAGATCCTCTTTCCACGGGGTAATAGGCAGTAAGTACAGTGGTTTACAGGCCAATGGTCAGATCAAGTGCGTGTGTTGATTAAACATAGCTGCCCTGGCCTAAATTTAATAAGGATACAGGTATAAACTCATTCATTCAGATGACAATGAGGCAACATGGTAAGGGTGGTCACCATGCAGCAATAGTTCAGCATGGTCTCCTGCGGTCTCATAAAGACACACTGGCCAGCAGAACCAGGAATCAGGGCCTTACACAAGGGTGGTCTCATCATAGCCAACATACAACTATCTACTGACTTTCTAAGCCACCATGTGTATACTCTTCTTTGTATACAAAACACAGCTAGTACTTATTCACCTTAACAGAATGTAGACCATATTTATACTCTTGGATGACTACCTTTGTGGGGTTCATAAACCTAGGTGTCCCCTTCACAGGAACCCAGTTGTACACTAAATAGGCATTCAACATTCATTTAGAGAGGCAGCTAAGTAGAGAAAGGGCAGAGGTGGATTGGGATGGCAGCACTCAGCCTCCCCAAGATTATTCCATGCTATTCAGCTGCCAGGCTTGCATTCCTCATGCAGCAAAATAAAAATACAAAAAATTAACTGGGTGTGGAGGTACACACCTGTAGTCCCCGCTACTCAGGAGGCTGAGGTGGGAGGATCACCCGAACCTGGGAAGTCAAGGCTGCAGTGAGCTGTGATCATGCCACTGCACTCCAGCCTGGACAACAGACTCTGTCTCAAACGACCAACACCACCGCCACCACCACAACAAAAAATGTATTCTGGGGCAGAAGGTCCTTCCAGATCGTGACCCATAAATGCTTCCCCTTTCTCGAATTACAGGTAGGCCCCATAAAAAGCATATTTTGAGGGAAAAATAAATGGATAAATAGACTAACGTTCTTACAGGCTATATGTTTTCATCAGTAAAACTCTTCAGCTCTTCGGCTTCTAGTTAATGTGATAGCCCTTTCTTAATTTTATGTATCTATATCTGATAACTTCTTTTCCCTCTAGTTTCCTTAAAAACTTACTTTTTATATCCATCTCTAGGTGCAAAGAAATGTGTATACACTCATTCAGGTATTCCATGATTCTACAAGGATGGGTTATAGAGTTCTCCTTGCTGGGCTCTTCCTCCATGATTGTTGATGTTGTAGTGTGTTTTTTCAGATGACAAGTAGTGTTATATTCCTCCAAGTGATCAACTAGAGGAGCTACAGTGAAGTTAAAGTGCTGACAAGGTGAACGAAAATCATTTGCTTTCACTTCCATTGATCCTCTCCTGATAAGAACTAGAAAGTAAAAAAATGTTATTTGCAAAATATTAACACACAGCAAGAAAACACATACAATTCAAAACTAAATCTCTTCCTTTCTGTACAAGAAAGTAGAACCAAGAAGTTACTTACACTAAAAATATATACATATTTTTGAGACAGGATCTCACTCCGTTGCCCAGGCTGGAGTGCAGTGGTGTAATCATGGCTCACTGCAGCCTCACTCTCCCACGCTCCAGCAATCCTCCCACCTTAGCCTCCTGAGTAGCTGGGACTGCAGCTGTGTGCCACTATGCTCAGCTAATTTTTTAAAATTTTTTATAGAGATTGGGTCTTGCTATGTTGTCCAGGCTGGTCTCCAACTTTTGGACTTAAGGGATCCTCTCTCCTTGGCCTCCCAAAGTGCTAGGATTACAGGCATGAGCCACTGAGGCCAACCTAAAAATAATTATGAAAGTGATTATATTTTTTAAGATCATGAAAACCAGGTAGTGGTAGTGTTGGAATAGGATTGGAGCATCTCAAAGGAAGCACACACATTTCCCCAGTGACTTGTGGGACAGAATGTATTGTGTGACCAATGTGGTCACAACATTTCCCATCCCACAGTGTACTAGTTTTCTAGGGCTACTGTAACAAAGTACCATAAACTGGGGGCCTTAAAGAACAGAAGTGGCTTTCTCATGTGGTGGTTCATGCCTACAATCCCAGTACGTTGGGAGGCCAAGGCGGGTGGAGCACCTGAGGTCAGTTTGAGACCAGCTTGGCCAACATGGTGAAATCCCGTCTTTAAAATACAAAAATTAGCTGGGCATAGTGGCATATGCCTATAGGTCCCAGCTACTTGGGAGGCTGAGGCAGGAGAATTGCTTGAACCTGGGAGGGAGAGCCAAGATCACACCACTGCACTCCAGCCTGGGCAGCAGAGTGAGACTCTGTCTCAAAAAAAAAAGTTTGTCTCACAGCTCTAGGCTCCAAACAATACTGGAGGCTTGAACCACGATACTTAAGTCCAACACCTTAAGGCCACTATGATGTGAAGACACCCAAATTAGCCCAAGTAGAAAGACAACATGCGCTGGGCACAGCGGCTGATGCCTGTAATCTTTCGGGTTTTTTGAGACGGAATCTCGCTCTGTTGCCAAGCTGGAGTACAGTGGCACGATCTCGGCTCTCTGCAATCTCCACTTCCCGGATTCGAGCGATTCTCCTGTCTCAGCCTCCTGAGTAGATGGCACTACAGGCACGCAACACCATGCCTGGCTAATTTTTTGTCTTTTGGTAGAGACAAGGTTTCACCATGTTGGCCAAGATGGTTGTGGTCTCCTGACCTCGTGATCTGCCCACCTCGGCCTCCCAAAGTGCTGGGATTACAGGTGTGAGCCACCGCACCAGGCCTGTTTTCACCTTTCAAGGATGCAGAGAAGGAAGATCTGTGAGCTATTAACCCTTAAAACACTTCCTAGTTTCTGTCATCACAGAGGCATTTTCACAATTTGCCTCTGTTGACTTCAGCCCAGAACTTGGAAGAGTTACGGCACTACTTGAGCAAGAACTTCATCCAAAGTCAGTGCGGAGGGGCAGAGGGATGAGGGTTGAAACATTACCTATTGGATACAACGTTCACTATTTGGGGTGATGGGAGCACTGGAAGCCCAAGCCTCACAATTACACAACATATCCATGTAACAAACTTGCACATGTACCCCTTGAATCTATAATGATAAAATATTTTTTAAAAGAGGAGCTACAGAAATGCCTACTAAGTACTTGAAAACAACAACAGAAAAATAAGGTAAATGCCAAGAAATTGTGTTTCCCATTCTCAAAGAATGCCAGAAAAGGACTGGGCTCGGTGGCTTACACCTGTAATCCCAGCATTTTGGGAGGCTGAGGCGGGTAGATCACAAGGTGAGGAGATTGAGACAATCCTGGCCAACATGATGAAACCTAGTCTCTACTGAAAATACAAAAATTAGCTGAGCGTGGTGGCACGCCTGTAGTCCCAGCTACTTGGGAGGCTGAGGCAGGAGAATCTCTTGAACCTGGAAGGTGGAGGTTGCAGTGAGCAGAGATCGCGCCACTGCACTACAGCCTGGGTGACAGTGAGAGACTCCGTCTCAAAAAATAAGTAAATAAAAAGAATATATCATTAATGTTTTTAACAGAATAAATTAACTTATACTTGATACCATTTTATTCTCACCTTCACTTTGTGTTTACCTTTTGATGTTTGTTCCTGAGAAATAAAATCCATGTTTCCTTTAGACTCACAAATGAAACACAAGGAGCACATTTTAAATTCACCTGTGATATCTTGGCAAGTTCTGGTGAAGTTATGAAAATTGGAGGGATTTAGAAAGATTCTCATGATAATCCGAGTTTCCCTCACTGGTTTCAGAAAAGTCGCAAAGGAAAAATTTAAGGAGGAGAGTGAATAGGTGAAATTAGATTGTGAACACACTTCCAGACATGATAGTTCCAACGTTCTTTCTGTAAAGAAAAAACAAAAACACTTTCTTTACTATAAGGTTTTGAGTTTTAGGCGTCGAAATAAATACACAGTATGCTCCCAGTTTTTCTTAGGTAGATTTAGTACATTTTAGCTTATCAGAGACAATAATTTTCTTTTTTTTTGAGACGGAGTTTTGCTCTTGTTGCTCAGGCTGGAGTGCAATAGCACAATCTTGGCTCACCACAACCTGTGCCTCACTGGTTCAAGCGATTCTCCTGCCTCGGCCTCCCGAGTAGCTGGGATTACAGGCATGTACCACCCTGCCCAGCTAATTTTGTATTTTTAGTAGAGACAGTGTTTCTCCATGTTGGTCAGGCTGGTCTCGGACTTCCAACCTCAGCTAATCCGCCCACCTCAGCCTCCCAAAGTGCTGGGATTACAGGCGTGAGCCATCACGCCCAGCTAAGACTTTTTTTTTTTTTTAACATGAATTAGCAATATCTATTCCATTTAAATATTTCTATTTATTATTATTATTATTTTGAGACAGGATCTTGCTCTGTCACCTAGTCTAGAGTGCAGTGGTGTAATCATAGCTCACTTTACCTCCCAGGCTCAAGCAATTCTCCCATCTCAGTCTCCAGAGCAGCTGTGACAGCAGGGTCATGCCACCATGCTCAGCTAATTTTTTAAAAAGTATTTGTAGAGACAGGGAGCCACCGTGCCCAGCAACATTTCTCTTTTAAACTTGTGAACATTCCCTATTAATTTTCAGAGAACAGATGTCTTGATAAAGAAGTGCTTGGATGACAGGGTGTTGAATGCAGCAAACCACCATGGCACGTGTATACCTATGTAACAAACCTGCACGTTCTGCACATGTACCCCAGAACTTAAAGTAAAGAAGAAGAAGGAGGAGGAGGAGGAGGAAGAAGAAAAAGAAGAAGAAAGGGAAGTAGTCTTGCTTGGAATCTCAGCATTTTAACCATTCTCCATTCCGCAGAATTTTTTATGGATAAACCTTAGGTTCTTCTGAATCTATCTGGTCAATTGCTCGGAGTCGAACAGGGTATGAAAACTTTGAACAGTATCTTTGCATCAGTTTCCTAGGGCTGCTGCAACAAATTACCACATCTTGGTAATTTAAGACAAGAGAAATTCATTTTCTCCAGTTCTGGAGGCCACAGGTCCACCACCAGTTTCAACAGTCAGGAATGGAGAGGTCTACATGATTGTACTACCGCTGGAGGCTTTAGGGAAGAATCTGTTTCTTGCCCCTCTGGTGGCTGCTGGCATTCCTTGGCTTGTGTCCACATCACTCTAATCTCTGTCTCCATAGTCACATTGCTTTCTCCTCTGTGTCTCTGTTTTCTACAAAACTCTGTGTGGAATCGCCCTCTGCCTCTCTTGAATAAAGATATTTGTGATTGGATTTAGGCCCCACAAGGTTAATCCAAGATAATCTTCACATCTCAAGATCTTTAACTAAATCACACCTATAAAGACCCTTTTTCCTTATAAAGTAACATTTACAGGTTTTCAGAATTAGAACCTGATATCTTTGGATGGCCATTATACAGCCTATCACAACACCCAAAGATGAAATTTAACAAGGTGACACCATAATTTTTACTTTTGTCTGAAGACAAACATCAGATATGGAAATGATAGTATAATAGAAATAATACTAAGTTCAGAAGCAAAAGACAAACACTCTAGGCTGGGTGCAGTGGCTCACACCTGTAATCCCAGTCCTTTTGCGGGAGGAGGTGCTCAAATTGCTTGAGCTCAGGAGTTTGAGACCAGCCTGGGCACATGGCGACTCCATTTCTACAAAAAATACAAAAATTAGCCAGGCGTGGCGGCACACTCCTATAGTCCTCACTACTCAGGAGGCTGAGGTAGAAGGATCACTTGAGCCTGGAAGGTTGAAGCTGCAGTGAGCCATGATCACACGCTGCACTTTAGCTTGGGCAAAAAAAGGAGATCCTGTCTCAAAAGGAGAAAAAATATTCCAGTGCTATATCTGTCGTTAGTCAAGATACTTAGACAATTTACTTAATCTCCATGAGTCTAGTTTTCTTAACTAGCAAAATAGAGATAACCCTGTTAATCTCATGGAGTTATAGTAACATCAAAGTATATAGTACATATGGAAACAGTTTTGAAATTTGTACAAATATATGTCATTTAAAATGCAAACCCAGGCCGGGCGTGGTGGCCCATGTCTGTAATCCCAGCACTTTGGGAGGCTGAGGTGGGTGGATCACTTGAGGACGGGAGTTTGAGACCAGCCTGGCCAACATGATGAAACCGCATCTCTACTCAAAATACAAAACTTAGCTGGGTATGGTGGTGGGCGCCCGTAGTCCCAGCTACTCGGGAGGCCAAGGCAGGAGAATTGCTTGAACCTGAGAGGTGGAGGTTGCAGTGAGCCAAGATCATGCCACTGCACTCCAGCCTGAGCAACGGAGTGAGACTCTATCTCAGATAAATAAATAAATACAGTAAAATGCAAACCCATATTTCAAAGTAAAAATTTTAAATTCATCTTTAGGACAGAATTATTTATGATTTTATTCATCAAAATAATCAAAGCTTACTGTGTAAAGATTGGGGACTCCTATTTATTAGCTATGATCAACTAAGGAATAGGCAACCTATCTTTCAGAAATTCCCAGTCCGATAGTTCTTTGTTAGCATAAGAAAACAACTGACATGGTTAATTTCACCTTTATGTAGCATCTTCATCATTTCTCATATAATCCTAAGGGGCAAAATATATTTTGAAGATTTCTAAATCATATGAAGCACAATGAAAGAATTATTTCTTTTTTTGAATGATTACTCCTACTCATATATCTTGATTCAAACTTGAAAAAAAAAATCAAGCTCATGGTTTATATTAAAGCATTTTAAAAATTTGTATAATTTGTATTTTTATAGTAATTCTGTAAGTATTTATTGGTGATTTTTTTTATTATTTAATACATTAAGTGCTGATTTACTAACCTTCTATATTTGAAATTGCTTCTGTAATAACTCACATTTAATTTCCAGCTATAAAAAATTTATTCAAATATACAATTTGATTATGTCTTAATATATTTATAATCAAAGTTGTAATCAGATTGTAACTATAATTAAAAAAATATTGCCTTCAGTAATAATGCCAAGGAAGGATATGGAAATGCACCACCTGATGGAACTCCATAATCTATACCTTTTTTAATATCACTAAAATCATTAAAAACTGATTTCTTGCCATCTTTCCATTTTCCTCACTGACACTTTTCATTTTATGAAACCTTCAACTTCTTCAATTTATATTGCTATGATATGACTTAGAAGAGAGATAGATAAATTTTTACTGTCAATATTGCAATATTCTTATTTAATAAGTGACCAACTGAGCTTTCTAGAATTCATGACAGATCCTTTATAATCAGCTATGGGGTAATTTCATGATGATTTTTAAACCTCAGCTTTAAATAATTCAATTGGAAAAGAAATAAATAGAAGACACACCCTTCCCCAGTATAATTTTAAGAAATAAATTCTACTCAATCATTTTTGCTATCAGGTGGACTATATTCTCATCTCCATAAACAAGGATTTATGCATTTAACTGCTGCCATTAATACTGCTGAGAGTTGATATCTAAATGCTCACTCTCAGAGATGGAAATACATTCCAGAATTACTCCAGTACTAAGACTGCAACCTCTCAGAGGAAGTACATAGAATACTAAACAGAATTGGGAAAATACATGGCACTATAGGACAAATACTCAAGTCAATTTATTTCCTCTTTTTAGAGAAAAGCCACAGCAAGATTAAAGAAACACCAACTATCTTTCTTTTTAAACTTTTATTATAAAAAGATATTATGCACACATATGAATAAAATGTATCATGGCAGTTAAATAATAATAACTAATACCCACGTACCTATCACCCAGATTAAGAAACAGAATATTACCAATATATTTGAAGCACCCCTATCTCTTCTCACCCCTACACTATAGCATAGTTTAGAAATATATACATATATATGGAATATACCATATGTATTCTGTGATTTGCTTTTACTTTGCTTAATGTGTTTTAGTCATGTTGGTGCACAGAGCTGTAGTTAATTATATATGGTATTCTTATGAATGAATATACTATAATTTATTTATTCATTCTTCTGACAGAGAACATTTGTGTTGTTCCATTTTTGCTGTTATGAATAATGTTGCTGTGAACTGAAACTCTCATACTTTGCTAGTGGGAATATAAAATAGTATAATCACTCTGGAAAACAGATTTTCTTATGAGTTAAACATATACTTACCATATGACCCAAAAATTCCACTCCTAGAAATTTACACAAGAGAAATAAAAACATATGTCCACGCAAAGACCTGTACGTGAATTTTTATGGCAGCTTTTTTACTTATAATAGCCAAGAACTGGAAACAACTTAAATGTCTAAAATCTAGTGAATATATAAATAACTCTTGCTGTATGCATGTAATGGGATACCACTCAGCAACAAAAAGGAAAAAACTACAAGCAACAACACGGATGAATCTCAGAGGCATTATAAAGAAGCCAGACTCAAGTGGCTATATATTGTATAATTCCACTTATATTAAATTCAAGAACATGGAAAATTGCGTTGGCAGCAGGAGAGAGGCTCTTCTGTAATGGAGCTTTGTAATGTATGATTTGCCTTTGTGTCCCCACTTAAATCTCATCTTGAATTGTAATCCCCAGGTGTTGAGGGAGGGACCTGGTGGGAGATGACTGGATCATGAGATAGTTTCCCCCAGGCTATTCTTGTGATAGTGAGTGAGTTCTCACAAGATCTGATGGTTTTATAAGAGTCTCTTCCCCCTTTGCTCTCCCTTCTGTCTCCTGCTGCCTTGTGACGAAGTGCCTTCTTCCCCTTTGCCTTTCGCTATGATTGTAAGTTTCCTTAGGCCTCCCAGCCATGCAGAACTGGGAGTCAATTAAACCTCTTTCCTTTATAAATTTCCCAGTCTTGGATG